CTTCAGCATCAGTCCTTCCAATGAACATTAAGGATGATTTCCTTTAGGATTGACTGGTTTGATCTCCTTGCTGTCCAAGGGACTCTCAAGAGTCTTCTCAAGCACCACAGCTCAAAAGCATCAATTCTTTGGCACTCAGCCTTCTTTATGGTCCACCTCTCACATCCATACATGACTACTGGAAAAACCATAGCTTTCACTAGATGGACCTTTGTTGGCAAAGTGATGTCTCTGTAGACTACAGGAGCCAAAATTCATCCCAGCATAGAATTTTGTTACTTGCATTGGAGACCGTTTTGCTTCAAGCAGTAGGTATACTCTGAAGGTTGTAATTAAGACAGTATTATTCTCACTGAGATGTTATCCATGAGAATTTTGAAAAGGAAGTCTCTTTAGAATGGGTCAGAAGCCAATTTCTAAGACACATTTACAGATTTTGGTCTTAGGATTCTATTGTATACCAGTAATTTACCAGTATATGAATTTTTTATTTTTGTTTTTTTATGGAAATGGAGTTGATTTACAATGTTAATTTCTGCTGTACAGCAAAATGATTCAGTTATAAATATATAAACATTTTAAAATATTCTTTTCCATATGGTTTATCATAGGACACTGAATATAGTTCTCTTTGCTGTGTAGTAGGTCCTTGCTGTTTATCTATTCCAGCTGCAATAGCATACATCTAGCAGCACATGAATTTGAAGTTGGGACTTTGAGTTAGTATCTGATCATAAAATTTGTTATTTGAATAGTTGAGTCATATATAAATATTATAGAATTCCATGTGAATACACATACTTGTGTCAGAATGCTTGTGATGATTAAGAGAGACAAGAGCATTTCTTCCTGCCCAGGGCTTCACGTTTGGGAAGGCTGGTGAGATCCTCACCACGAGGCTACGGTCAATGGCTTTTAAAGTGATGTTGAGACAGGTAGGTGTGCGCACCAGGGCAGTGTTTTCCTTTCCTTTCAAGCCTCACTGTGCTGCCCTCTGTGCTGTGGGTCCCGGGTGTTCATGCAGGAACTGGTCAGATCCCCGCTAGTTGTACTAGCCCTTCAGCATCCAAAGACCTCTTAGGGTTTCCGTGGGGATAGGCTTAGTTTATGTAATAAATAGGGGCTGGTATGTCATGACTTCGGGGGCTTCTTTTGCAACTCCCTCTATCTACGTGGATACTCTCACTTCAAGGATCTGTCTGTGTTTTCTGGATTCTGTGCAGGCCCTCGGAGTCACTTGAGACACCAGGATGCCTTTCAACAAAGGCAACAATGATTGGCAGGGTTTCTGCCCAACAGTTGATGCGACTTACTAAGGGTGTCACCACGTGTTGATCATTGAGTTTTGTTTGACCGCTTCTTCCATGTTGGTTCACTTGTTGGTTCACTCCAGCATCACTCACTATGTCCCAGATGGTGTGCTGGTCTTTGGGACTATCACGTGCATTGTGCGCCCCATCAGGAGGGTGACACCTAGTACAGGGCTCATGGGAAGATGTGCAGGCATGAATTCTCTATTTTATAGAGAAGGCTTAAGAGAGGGCCAGAATATTATCCATGTAGTTGACAGGAACGGATGACATTCTGGTTCACAGAAGGGCACAGGGCTGGTATCATATTTTGTGCAAGACTTTTTTCAGTGTCTTTTAAACTGTTGCTATGTAGGGAAAATTATTTTATATGAAACTAAAAGATTCTATGGACGAGGGGTATATAATTAAAATCATATCTAAGACTTTAAATTTTTTGAAATTTCTTTCTTTCTTTATTTTTGGTGGCACTGAGTCTTCATTGCTGTTCAGGCTTTTCTCTAGTTGCTGCAAGAGGGGCCTCCTCTTGAGTTGTGGTGCGTGGGCTTCTCGTGTCGCAGTGTACGGACTCTGGGGCACACACGGGCTTCAGTAGTTGGGGTGCCCGGACTCTAGAGCACAGGCTCAATAGTTGAGGTGCATAGGCTTTGCGTTGACCCACAGCATGTGGGATCTTCTTGGACCAGGGATCAAACTCGTCTCCTGCATTGGAAGGTGGATTCTTTACCACTGAGGCACCAGAGAGGCCCTAAGATAGACTCTTTCATCCCTGCTTCAAATAAACACAACAAAACATGGTGAGAAACCAGGGCTGATGATCTCATGCCTAGAATTTAGAAGAAAGAGCCATGTCCAGCCCAGCTCCACCACCCTTTGTGAGCGGAGTGGTCCCATCAGGGAGCAGGTGTTGGGGGCACAGGTTTGAGGAGTGGGTGGGTGGACCCGCAGGTACCGCGGTCTCCGGTGAAGCTGGCGGTGAGCTTGGCTGCCATCTGGATAAGCCCCGCACCCGTGGTGTGCTTTCCGGGCGCAGCTGGGAGGGGTCCTATGGGCTCCCAGTGTGTGTTCAGGGCAGGGACCCGGGCTCCCTGCCACATGGGAGGTCTCCCCTAAACTCCAACAGCCAAGTTCAGAGTGGGTACTTCCTCAGCATTGAGAGTTTGAGATGTTTCATCTGATTTTTCTCTGCTTGTTTTAATCTGGAACTAACATAAAGGTGTATCATGTGCCTTAGGACATGAGCTGGTTTGATGATCATAAAAACAGTACTGGTGCACTTTCTACAAGACTTGCAATGGATGCCTCGCAAGTCCAAGGGGTATGTAGACCTCATTCTACTACTGTTTTTCTTCGACTTGGTTTGGGAGAAACATATGGCATAGCTGCCACCTTTAAACTGTCTCAGCTGCAAATAACAGAAAACTCAAACTGGCCTGAACAACAAAGAGGAAGGTTAGACTTGAGGACTTATGGATCCATTGGCTCACAAGTGTCCAGAAGGACCCAGGACTCTGTCTGTTGACTCTGAGCAGCTTTCAGTCCTCAGAATTGGCTTCATGCTGAGGCTCCTTCCCTTGTGGCCACAAGGTGGCTTCTGGGAGCAACCGGATCTATAAGCTTCCTTGTTTTTCATCCAATGGAAGAGAAGGCATACCTGGACCTCAACCGCCAAACAAACACCCTTCCTTTATATCTAACTTAGATTAATTTGGGCCACATACCCAACCCTGAACCAATAACTGGCTCTGGAGGGTGTCGCCCTCTCCCTGGCTTTCGCCCCCAGCCTTGGAGCTGAGGCCTGTTACACAAAGCTCATTGCTTCTGCACAATGCAAGATGTCACCTGTGATGTCCCTATGACATCCCTTGTTTTCTGACTGATGGAAACAGTACTTCATCTTTATGAAGGTTTTCCAGGGGATGGTCTCTTAGGATCTGTACCCTTTGCAACTGATGGTCTCTTGGAGCTCATGAGCCTCCCTCTTATACATGTGAAGCAAACAGGCTTTAAAATGACCAGAGTGTCTGAGGTTTATTTCCTCTTTAAACGTTGCCTTCAGGAAAAAGTGTATGTGCCCCATAGCCTCTCCCCAAAGCAGAGCAGTGATGACCTGGTTCTGTGATGCTGAATCCATGTGGTCAGGAAAGGAGTGACAGTTGAAAGGCACAGCCAGAAAATAAGCGTCAGAGCCTCCCAAGTGATGCGTGAGACTACTTTGGGCACCTGATGCGAAGAGCCGACTCATTAGAAAAGACCCTGATGCTGGGTAAGATTAAGGACAGGAGGAGAAGAGGGTGATGGACAGACATGAGTATGAGCAAACTCTGGGAGATAGTGAGCAACAGGGAAGCCTGGCTTGCTGCAGTCCATGGGGTCAGAAAAGAGTTGGCCACGACTGAGCAACTAAACAATAACAATCTTGGGTTTATTGTAATGAAAGAGAGCAAATGTTAGCACAGGCATGAATCCCTGTCTCATGGTTCTGACCAGGAGGCTGAAGGCTGCAGCTCACAGATCTGCAACTTCAACTACAGCTCCCTCTCTTCTTTTGCTCATCCAGGCCACTGGGACCAGGTTGGCTCTGATTGCACAGAATACGGCTAACCTTGGAACTGGTATTATCATAGCATTCATCTACGGTTGGCAGTTAACCCTTTTGCTGTTATCGGTTGTTCCAATTATTGCTGTATCAGGAATTGTTGAAATGAAATTGCTGGCTGGAAATGCCAAAAGAGATAAAAAGGAACTGGAAACTGCTGGAAAGGTGGGTCAAATAAGGCTTCAGTGGATATAAGTATGGTTGTTAAGACATGGGTTTTATTTGATTGATTTGTTACAACATGCATGTTTTGATAATGTTAGTGCTCCCTACAACTAATAGTGGTCAATACTGAGTTTGAAATATCTTACTGTGTCAATGCCTAGAACTTGAAAATGGGATAATTAATGTAAAACTTTTAGCATATAGAAAGTGCTATATTCAGAGAATTTCTGAGCTTTCAGAGCTTGTTTTACCTTTTGCTTTGTACAATGATGCCATTGTTAGGACAAAGGTTACCCCTGTTTTACAGATGAAGAGTCCTTAAGGCAGAGACATAGAAGTGTATTGTTTTAAGTAGACAGTCCTGTTCCTCTTGGTTGTGATTTCTGTAGTTAAGCTAGGCAGCCACCAGAGGGCAGTAATGCACAGATTTGTGACTCTAATTGTAATGGCAATTGGGCACACACTTAAACTTGGACCTTACTTTGAGCCAGTTATTGTTCTAAGTATTTATATGTTCCAACTCATCCTCGCAGAATCCTATGAGTCAAGTACTAATGTTTTGCCAATTTTACAAATGCGGAACTCAAGAATGAAACAAATTAAAGGCATGGCTGGGATTCAAGTCCTGGTCTATTTCAAAGTTCTTTACTATATAGTCTCTTCATATGGGTTTAAATGTGTCTAAACCTACATTTTATTTAGACTTACATGTATTTAAATGTTAAATGTAGACAACAACCAGGAATTTTTTTNATGGCTGGGATTCAAGTCCTGGTCTATTTCAAAGTTCTTTACTATATAGTCTCTTCATATGGGTTTAAATGTGTCTAAACCTACATTTTATTTAGACTTACATGTATTTAAATGTTAAATGTAGACAACAACCAGGAATTTTTTTTACCCTTACTTATGTAAATATTATGCTATACTGAAACATTAAGAGATGAAGAAATAGTGAAAATTGTGATGTAGTTTCTACAGCACAGCATTTGCAAAGCCTTTTCACAGACAATACTGCCTAGGCCTTAATATGGTTATGGTTACTCCAGGTGGGGCAGACAGCATGTCTCGCTCATGGGGAAGAAAAGCAGTCAGCATGATTCCCAGACTTCAGCTCTCATATCCAGAGTCCTGCAAGACCCTCTTGGCTGCTGGCTGTGGCTTCTTTATGGCATCATGTCCTTGTTTGTCACCACTGAAAACCACCGCACAGTGTTTGTTCCCTTTCTCCCGAACCCTGCTGCTTTTCACATTTCAGAAGGGAAATTGTCATTTTTCTTAGACCAGTTACATGGAAGAAAACATCTTAAATCTAGTTGATAGAGCCTCACTTCTGTCAAAAATGGCCAATGACACTGAAAGTAGCCAGAGTTTTCTGGCAGGAGTAGGGCTGTTAGGATGGAACAGCTTGGCAAACAAAATGCCATGTTGGATCATCCGTCCTGGCCTTGTTGCCACTCGGTATATCATACTGGAGAAGATCCCCCACTTCTCTGGCCCTCATTTTTCACTTATGTAACGTGAGACATTGTACCAGATAATGTCCCAGGTTCCTTTCAGCTACTACTCTGTGTCATTTCAGGCATCAGAGGATGAACAACTCACATTGAGCCGTCTGAAATATTTTTAGTAGCTACTTTAACCTAATAAGGGTTTTTTTTTCTTAAAATGAGAGGTTAGAAATTGTAAATACTAATTATCAGCAATTCAATCATATTTCAATTTGGTTTACTCTGTCAACTCCTGATTAACCCACAATGAGGGTTAGAAAGGTCTTGGAATCTCTGCCACCGCCCCCGCCCCCTGCCCTCTGCTCTTCTACTGTTTTTTGGTGTTGTTTTAAAGTTCTCATTGACCTGTGTGCAGATTAGTCATGGTTCAGGAGCATGGGGACTTGGGATAATTTCCCATTTTCATTTTCCAGAAAAGGCTTAGTAATGAGGGCGTTGGTTGCTGGACTGGGAAGAGGGGAGGGAGGCTGTTGAGTCGCCCTGCTGACTCAGGCCCTGCCTGCTGACTGAGATAAGGAGCCTCCTGAACCAGCATGAACCCTCGAAGCACTTAATCCAGGGCCCAGAAAACGATAAGTTGGGTGGAAAGTCCTAACAAGTAGTTTCTCCTTGTGTAAATTACAAAGCAGGGAAAGTAGCAGGGCATAATGGATGAAGAGCAGGGACCTGGTACCAAACAGCCTGGTAGGGAACCCTGTCCCGCCTACTCATGAACTCTGGAGCCTTCGTTCCCTCACCTGTGCGAACAGGAATCAGAACACGGGCCTCACAGGGCTGTCACATGGGGTAATATCGGGCACAGAGTAAAAGCCGATCTGTGTTCTCTATTCAGGGGCTTCCAAGAGGGGTTAGCGGTGGAGAATCCACCTGCAATTCGGGAGATGCAGGAGATGTGGGTTGGGAAGATTCCCTGGAGGAGGAAATGGCAACCCACTCCACTGTTCTTGCCTGGGAAATCCCATGGACAGAGGAGCCGGGCAGGCTACAGTCCATGGGGTCACACAGAGTCAGACACGACTGAGCACATTCTCTATTCTGGCTGTGATTACCGTTAGATGTTTCATTTGTAATAAAGATAAAAGGCTCTTCAGCTTGAAGTATTGAATATCTTTCTTTTATCAGGTTCCAGAAGCTGAGAACTGAGATAAAAGTCTCCAACCTAAGATTTTGTTTTAGATTTTTGTCTCATGGCCCTTGTGCCAGTGGTTTAGATGAGTCAACTGCAGAACTCTGATTTAGGCTGAATAGCAGAGTCACAGACAGTTAACTTCAGTCAGGGGTGGTTTAGCTGTCACAGTCAGAAAACTGCTCTGGTGGGTTTGGGTCAAAGGGTTTGTGTGAGGGGAACACCGACAGCTGATGGTAACTGCAGGGTCCCCAGCAGCTCCTCTCTTAAAGCCACTAGCTCTCTCGTCTCTGAGTCTGTTCAGACATTTGTTCTGTTCCTCAGTCGCTGAATATTCAGGCCAGCTCCCTACACATGCTCTGGTGACCTTAACCTCTGTATCTGCAGGCCCTCCCAAGTCACAGAGTTGCCTTCAAGTGCAGAAACTAAATCCAAGTGGCCTAAATCAGTCAGATGTCTGTCCTGGTTTTATCATTAAGGCCAGGTCATAGTGTTTACAATTGGAATGTCCTCAAATGAGGATAAGCATTTTCTTTCCTAAGAAGCAGTGTGCCTTAGGGAAGAAATGACTGCGCCTTCAGCAGGCTCTTAGAAATCACTTGGGGTCTCCCAGGTGGCTCAGTGGTAAAGAACCCACCTGCCAACACAGGAGACATCAGAGATGCAGGCTCGATCCCTGAGTGCGGGAGGTCCCCTGGAGGAAGAAATGGCAACCCACTCCAGGATTTTTGCCTGGAGAATCCCATGGTTAGAGGAGCCTGGTGGGCTACAGTCCATGGGGTCTCAGAGAGTCGGACACGACTGAAGGACTTAGCATGATTATCTCTTCTAAGATCCCACCCTACAACGAAAGCAAAGTCACACAGGGTTTTAACTAAAGCCAGTCAAGTAACTGCCTGGTGGCAAGACTGGGAACAGAATTTGGCTTCATGTCCAGACCACTGTTCGTGCCCTAAGCTGATCTGTCTCTCAGCCTAGTACATAGGAAGGCTTGCCCACCATACATAACAGCGCAACCAGTGGTGCTTTGAAGATGCCCCAGGTTTCTCACAGAGCTTGTCTTGAATAACACATTATGCCCATGCTATACAAACTGAAGGAACTGAAAACTCATCAATGGAAACTTTGGAGTTCTTTGGACAGAGCCCTGAGACTTATATATATTATATATATAATAAATACATGTATATTTATCATTTATTTCAGAAGTAGTATTATTTATTATTTCAGAAGCATTTATTATTTCAGAAGTAAAAGCCCCACTTCTAATCAAGGTCTGTTCTATGTTACAGATTGCAACAGAGGCAATAGAAAATATTAGGACAGTCGTGTCCTTGACCCAGGAAAGAAAATTTGAATCCATGTATGTTGAAAAACTGTATGGAGCTTACAGGTAATGAGCATATGATTGTTATTAAGAACCTCGTATTATTGATTGCAATTTTTAGGCTGAATTTTTTATTGCAGTTTTTATTCTGCTGTAAATAATGATATGATTATAAGGATGGCCTTTTTTCAATAATTATCTCACTGAAAACAAGTAATTTTTTGATGCAGTTGGACTATAAGATTGGATTTTTACATCTCTTATAAAATAGTATGATTGGGTCTCTGAGAGCTAACAGGAACAGAGGGCGGCACAAGTACTTTTTTTTTTTTTTAATCAATGCAGGCAACATAAACCACCCATCTGGTGATTCAGGGTAAACATTCGTTAAGGCAGTTGCTCAAGCCTTTATTTTCTTTGGATTGTGTAAGACTAAACCAAAGATGAGACTTGCTTTGGGGTTAAAGTGTTTCTATTGTTTTCTGGATGAGGGCCAGATCCATCCTATCCTGAAAACAAAGACACAGTCTGTTTCTCTCCTTTATTCTTGAGCAACTCAACAAGTCTCCAGCATCTGTTTGCCACTTGTTTCCAACTAGGTCCTTTTCTCATGAATGGATATATTTTAGCACTAAAAGACCCAAACACAAGCTGAATCACAACTTTGTGGACTAGAACAGTGGTTTTGAACACTTACATATTTGGACAGAGATAGTTGTGAATTTCTCAGTGTATCCACCTTCTTAGCTATGTATACTTCATGTAGCAACATTTTTCTGTCCCTTTGATGTTTGACATACATGTCAGTAGCACTGTAAATTGTTCAGTAACATTAAGTATTGTAATACTGCTTATAGCACATAAGTCAAACTAGCCAAATAAGTAATACTTTGAATTTTCCCTCTTACCAAGTGCCTTCCTTCTAATCTGAAAGTAAATAAATTACTGTTCTTTTGGAGGATTTAGAATAATGAAGTGTAATAAAGTAGCAAAACTAGTAGTAGAGGATAGCATGAGGTCTAATTAGAAATGGTGTAGAACAAATTGTGCTGGGGCTGGTGGGATCCAGTTCCAGGAAGAAGTTCTGATGTGCCTGTGTAGATCTCGCTGACCCTACTTTTCCAAATCCAAAACATGAACAGACTATAATCCAAAACATTAGAGACTATAACTAGTCACAGAAGACGAGATAATGTTAGACAATCGAATTTAGATCATTCAAACTTCAGTCTTAACTCTGACATCCTTTATTTTTGACACAACAATCATGTTTATATCATGTGTTGAAGGTCTGAATTACTAGATATTCATGTGTAATAAGAATAGCAACTATCATTTGAACATCCACTGTGAGCTAGGTACTGTGTTAGACATTTATATTGTGTATTTAGATCTCAAAGCAGTTTTGTATATCCTGGTTATCCCCCTCTTACAAATCAGAAAGCTGATATATAGAGAGGTTAAATCACCTCCTCTGATTATAATTGGGAGCAGAACTTAACAGGTGGACTAAACTTAGAAGCTGTGCTGTGTGTATAACCCAGTGTTAAAGAGACTGAAGAGATGGTTACAGATATATTAATCTGCTTTTCAGGAATTCTGTGCGGAAGGCACATGTCTATGGGATTAGTTTTAGTATTTCACAAGCATTTATGTATTTTTCCTATGCTGGTTGTTTCCGATTTGGTGCCTATCTCATCGTAAATGGACACATGCGCTTCAGAGATGTTATTCTGTAAGTAATTTTTTTTTAAATTTATTGACATTATTCCATAACAGAGCTTCAGTAGGTCTATGCAAAAGTTTGTAGTAGGATGAAAAACTAATTTATGATGAAGCCAGAGAGTTGAATCTACTCCAAAAATTGGACGTTGTTAGTACTCCAAGGGTAGTTTCATTTGTCAAGTGGACTGAATTCAGCCAAGCTAGTGTACACAATCATAAACCAGACTTCTAGTAATACATAGAAGGACAGGAGGATAACCAGTATTCTCAATGTGGAAATAAAACATAATTAGAAAACTTCAAGAGGTTAAATAGCTTACTATTTATGGGCAACCAACGATGGCCTTGCCAGTGGGATAGGAATGCATGACTGAAATCTGGGAAAGACTCTCTTCGCTAGCCAGACCTGGGATGACCCTGCCCACTCTTGCCTCTTAGCCTTCCTATTGTCTTGGTTTCCAAGGCTAACCAACGGTCTTTCAAAATATGCCAAATACATTCAATTAGGTTGCAGTCTAGTCTTGCCAACGGGAAGCTATTCTTTTAAGATCATTTGGCATATTTCTGGTGTGATGGGATGATTTTTAAAGCAGTAGCAAACAACTTAAAAAAAAAAAAAACAGGGTCAAGACAGACAAAGTGAAAGAGTTTACAAGCTGTTCTTTTGTTTTCATCCAAAATTAAAATAACCATGAAAAAGGAATATGTATCTTTGCATCAGTCAGGATCCTAGCAGGGACAAATGGTTTTGCAAAGTACGGGGTCTCTCTAATTGGGACAGTAGCACTGACATATATAAATTACCATGTATAAAATAGATAGCTACTGGGAAGCTGCTATAGAACAGGCAGCTCAGCTCAGGGCTCTGTGATGACCTAGGAGGGAGGGACGGGGTGGAGGAGGGAGCTCAAGAGGGCGGGGATGCATGTCTACTTAGACCTGACTCACACTGTTGAACAGCAGAAATTAACACAACATTGTAAGGCAATCATCCTCCAGTTAAAACAATGAAGGTTCTGTTTTTAAAGGTGTGAGATGTATCGAGGTCAGCAGTGCCTAGCTAGGAACCATCAAAATGTTCAGTTCAGTCGCTCAGTCATGTCCAACTCTTCACGACCCCATGAATCGCAGTACGCCAGGCCTCCCTGTCCATCACAAACTCCCGGAGTCTACTCAAACTCATGCCCATCGAGTTGGTGATGCCATCCAGCCATCTCATCCTCTGTCGTCCCCTTCTCCTCCTGCCCCCAATCCCTCCCAGCATCAGGGTCTTTTCCAAGATGTTACTTAAGCCTAAAAGGCAAGAAGAGGGAGGGATTTTCAGAACCCAGCATGCGGTCTGGGGGGAACACCACAACTATCCACCAGAAAAGGGGCCAACACAACAAATGCCCTGGCCCCTCTCCTCCAGCCTCCATCCCTACTATGCTGGTCCTTGCCAAATGCCATCAGGAGCCAGAGGAACAGGAAACCTTTCGATGCAGACCCAGTAGGTCAGCCTCTAAGGCACAGAGGAAGGTGGATGGTGTCAGGTGGAGATGGAGAGTAGAAAGTGGTTTCAGAGAGACAGATGCAAACAGCCAGTTGGGAATTACCACTTGGAGTATGCATACTGTCTAGAAAAACACCATCGAAGAAATTGGCCCTGCTTTTGAAAGCTATCTTATTTTTATCTTTAAAATGTTAAATTCTGGGTAATTGGAAGATAGCCTTTAAAGTCTTTAATATTAAGGCTGCATGGCAGGCTCTATAGGAAGGTCAGGCAGCTAGCTATGGGTGAGCTGTTCATCTCTCTCTGAAAATTTGATTTTTGGTAATCAACCTTCTCACGTATTTACGTGAATACTCTACCCACCATCCCCAGCCTCGTGTACTTAAAACAAACTTTAATAATTAGGTTTACACTTTGCTGCACAGCAATAATTAATGCAATCTTGTAAAATCAATTATACTTCAATTTTTTAAAAAGAATTTAAAAATAGAAAAAAATTAACTTACAAGCCAAAACAAGAAGCCAAGTGCCATGATACCCAGCCCAGAATTATCTAATCTGTATCAGGGTACAGAAGCAAAGCAGAGACAATTCAGTGCATGGAGTTTGATTCAATTTGATTCAGGTTTTTTCAAGCTTGTGGAACTTTAGTCTCACTTATTTGAATGTAGCTCAAAGAGACAAAACAATACAAACAGCTTAAAAAAAAAAAACTTAGAAGTTTGGGGGAAATTTTTTTTAAGTTCTCCATTATTATTAGAGATCTTCCTACCCACCTCTTTCTTTGGGGAGCTCTGATGCCAGAAGTAAATAGCTTTGTAAATGGCACTAATTGTAAAGAACCCACCTGCCAATTCAGGAGACATTAAGGGATGCAGTTTCGATCGATGGGTCAGGAAGATCTCCTGGAGGAAGGCACAGCAACCCACTCCAGTATCCTTTCCTTGAGAAGCCCATGGACAGAGGAGCCTGGTGGGCTGTGGGGTCACAAAGATTCAGACACGACTGAGCGACTGAGCATGCACACGCAGATCTCAAGATCTTTAGTTCTTCCTAGATGTTATCATCCATATCTATTCTCTTAACTGGAGAATAGACCTTTAGGTTAAGAGGATTGCTTTTTGAGGGTTGTAGCAATAGATATTTTACTTATAAGAGAAAAGCTGTTTGTAGTAAAGGCTTATTTTGCCTAATAAGAATTCTTTAAGCATAGTGCCGATGATTATCATTTGCCCAGCGGAGAGGTGGGGAGTGGGGGTGTGGAAGCCACTGTCTGGAGGTCAGGGCTATAGAGTCGGGAGAAAGTCTCACTCCTGATCTGGTCCTGTTCAAGTCCCTTCAGCACCTAGAGCTCCAGTTCCCTCAACTCCAAACAGGGTAAGCAGCTAATCGGTAGAATTACCTGAGAATTATCAGTAGAATTATCACAACTCTGATTCTCTGATCAGCAACTTCTGGAGAGAGAAGGACTTTACAAAGTTCCATGAAATCCAGGAAATGAGAAGTCCTGAAGGAAGTCAGAGCATGCTTAGTTGTAGCCAACTCTTTGTGACCCTGTGGACTGCCACACGCCAGGCTTCCCTGTTCACTCTCTCCCAGAGTTTGCTCAAGCTCATGTCCATCGAGTCGGTGATGCCATCCAACCATCTCATCCTCTGTCGCCCCCTTCTCCTCCTGCCCTCAGTCTTTCCCAGCATCAGGGTCTTTGCCAATGAGTCAGCTCTTATATAAACTAATTTTCAAAATTCCTCTGCTCCCATCTAGGGTGTTCTCAGCGATTGTGTTGGGCGCCGTGGCTCTAGGACATGCTAGTTCCTTTGCTCCAGACTATGCTAAAGCCAAGCTGTCTGCAGCCCACTTATTCAAGCTGTTTGAAAGACAACCCTTGATTGACAGCCACAGTGAGGAAGGCCTGAGGCCCGTGAGTTCCGTGCTGTCTCATGAGCACTTGGTTAACTTTTTCCTCAAGGTTTTCTGTCTGCTAGATCGTGTCGACTGGAAAAAAAACAAAAAGCGCAATGTGAGAGTTGTGAGTTAAGTTTTATTTGGGGCAAAATGAGGCCAATAGCCGGGCGACAGCACCTCAGAGAGACTGCTCCACAGTTTTCCATTTGATTTTACTGAAGGGGGTACCTGCCGTCAGGCACACATTTTGGCAGAGGTTTTCTGCTAGTCACAAGTAACAGATGTCTCTGCTAATGTTTTAGTGCTTTTCTAGTTATGAGAAGATGCAAGAAACTGGGTTCATAAAATTTTCTCCTGAAAATGTCTGTCTGCAGGCCTGTTCTGCCAGTGTTTTTCCAGAGCACAGGGTGCCTCATACCTGATCCCTGAACCCCTTTCAGGGGGTGTTGAAGGGTGTTGAAGGTCAGCGGTTGCAGCAGTTTGTGGCTTAGCCCTTGTAAATGAGAGGCAGATGTCAAGTGACGATCGTAACTGCAGGATAAATTTGCAGTGATTACGCTGACATTGACTTCACTAGCTTTGTGATAGTTACAGGGCTAATAATATTTGGCCAACTTTCCTGGCATTTTCAAATTTCATAGGGGGTTGCAAAGATTCTGAAGTTGAGCACATCAAAAGTTAAAAAAACAACCACCAAATATCCAGATTGTACTAGAATGAAATAATTTCCATGAAAATTGAGTCATTCCTGCAGGGAAGGTATGTGGCTTTAATTTTGTGAGTGGCATTAGCAATTGTATTTGCAATTGTGTTAGCAATTTGGCTTTCATCACCTGGTATAATGACTGTGTTGTAAATGGTAGGACAGCTACTTTATTCAGAGTTGGAGGAACAAGGATTTACTGTCTCCAAGCTTAGCTCTCGGTGTTCTTTGTATAATACAAGCAACTGCACATTCTAATGTGAAGCAGCGTGGGTAAAGAGATGGGGACTTATGCAACATTTTGGGGGCTTTATCATGTAATTCCTGTTATGATAAACTTACTGTGCTGAGTGAGTGAGTTAGAGAGGCCACAGGGCTTGAGTTAAGGGCTGTGCACCAAGACTGCTCTAAATCCCCACACCTTTGAGCCTTGAGCCATTGACTTGGCTTCCACTGCAAAATCATCATTTGGGAACACTAAATATTTGTCTTCATTGACACAGAAATTTTGAGTTTAGACAACAACGCTATGACTCTCTTTAAGCTGAACCCCTGGTTCCCATCTTCATTTTGTATATATGACAACTCTAAAATATGACTCTCTTTAACCTGTAGCCCTGGTTCCCATCTTCATTTTTTAACAACTTGCTACCAATACTAACTGGTGCCACCACTTGTACTGAACACAGATTTTATGTTACTCTGCTGTAGTGTCTGTTAAAGCTTCCTTGAATTTATACTTTTTATTCCAATGATTTATCAGACTAATTATAGTAGCAATATAAACATACCTATTTTTTAGGATAAGTTTGAAGGGAATGTGACACTTAATGAAGTCGTGTTCAGCTACCCCAGCCGGCCAAACGTGCCTGTGCTTCGGGGGCTGAGCCTGGAGGTGAAGAAGGGCCAGACGCTGGCCCTGGTGGGCAGCAGCGGCTGCGGGAAGAGCACGGTCGTCCAGCTCCTGGAGCGGTTCTATGACCCCTTGGCTGGCACAGTGGTGAGCATGCTTTCTGAGATCAGTAACCTGATTTAAGGCACTATCTGACAAGACCTATCATCTTAATGAAAAAAAGACCACATTCCGTGGATCCCAAACTGGCGCCCACAGTCAGACAAATATATGGGGACAGTAGGGTAGAATATGTGGAACTGAGTGGAGTTCAGAAAGGTCTGAGTGTGAAGTTGATCTGTACCCTGCCCTGGGCCCTCTGCACCAGCCAGATCCCCCTGCGAGAACACACACTCGCTTCCTGGGTTATAAAGGTAACCACACACTCCTACCAGAGTTCTGAGCAGATTCCCAGGACTCCCTCCCCTCCGTTCTGCTTGGCCATCTCTCTAACCCTGAACTTGAAGCTCTCTTTGATCCTTACCTCTGGGCCTCTCACATTTGGCTTTTAGCATTGATGTTGTTGGTGTCTAGCCCCTGGCCCTCTTCGAGCGGAAATGTAGCTCTTACCAATAATGCCTGCATCTCCCATTACCTTGGGATGGTACCCACCGACCTGGTCCAGGGAGCCAACCCCCACGCAGACAGTCACCAGAATGTTAAGCCTTCTTGAGTTGCTTCTTTGGGGGAAAATCTTACGTTTCCACTATTACAATTACCATGAAGATATGAATTTGGGCAAACCAGCTCACTGTGCTAATCCTCTGGTGGGGATTTCTTTCTTAAAAGGCCAAGGCTAGTTGGACTCGTGTGTATTTCTTCACCATGTCCTTTGCACTGTGGAAGCTGTATCCTCACTTAGCACATCACAAGGCTCCTCTAGAAGCATCAGGCCTCCTGCTTCCAGCAAATAAAAAATAAAACCACCACCAAAGATAAAGATGCTACTCTTGAGCTTATCCACTTTCAGTTGAACTCTTGTCCTTGTGTGTTAGTCACTCAGTCCTGTCTGACTCTGTGACCCCAGGGACTGTAGCCCACCAGGTTCCTCTGTCTATGGAATTTTCCAGTAAAGAATACTAGAGTGGGTTCCCTTTCCCTTCTCCAGGGGATCTTCCTGCCCCAGGGATTGAACTCCAGTGTCCTGCATTGGCAGGCAGATTCTTTGCCATCTGAGCCAACAGTGAGGGTAGGTGAAGACTGCTAGTTCTCAGGGGAAAGAGAGGTGAGGGGGCTAAGACAGGAGATAACCAGCTTTCAGAATGTGGGGCCCTGCTACGGACCTGCTTTTCTTCCTGGTGTGCCTGGAGATGGGGCACAGCGTCAAAGTGAAAAGGTCAGAGCTGTTTGGCGACAGCAGATACAAGTAGGACACTGAATTGCTTGCTTCTTTGTTAATATTAATAATTAATTTTAATTGGAGGCTAATTACTTTACAATATTGTGGTGAAGGCAGAGGGTGGTACACTTGCTGGATGAAGGCAGACAGGAACAGACAGAGTAATGTGGAAAGACAGGGCCAAATGTGCTACCGTTTTCCCAGGTAGAACAAGAAAGGGATGGCTGAGTCGCCATAAAAAAAAAATCTTTTTGTTGGCTGTGTGGGTCTTACAGTGTAAGAGCTTACAGGCTCTGAGGGTTGGTATTTCACAAGCTGCCGACGTCCCTGTGCCACAGTCCTCTTAGTAACTTGCTGTTCAGGTTTTTTTGTGGTTGTTTAAGTCATTCTTACAGTTTGTGGGGTCTGGTTTTCAGCTCCTAGATGGTCACGAAGCGAAGAAGCTCAACATTCAGTGGCTCAGAGCCCAACTTGGAATCGTGTCCCAGGAGCCCATCCTGTTTGACTGCAGCATTGCCGACAACATCGCCTATGGGGACAACAGTCGGCTCGTAACCATGCCTGAAATTGTGAGCGCAGCCAAAGCAGCCAACATCCATCCTTTCATTGAGACCTTGCCCCACGTAAGTGAACTGGTGACTTCCTGGATGAGGTCGGAATCAACTGCAGACTGTGTTCCTCCTCCAGCAGGTCCCAGAGTTCGCCTCTGTACCAGCACTGTGACCTTGGACTACACACTGAAGTCCATGATGCCAAGTTTCCTTATTGGGAAATGGAAATATTAGTTGTGGTGTTTATCTTGTACTAAGGTCGTGGGAAGCAAGTGAGGCGATTGTTAAGTCACCTCAAACTGCTGGTTGTGGGCTGCATTTGGACTGTAGCCCTGTCTGCTTTATCCCTTATGGCACTTTCTTTTTTTTTTTCCATTTATTTTTATTAGTTGGAGGCTAATTACTTTACAATATTGTAGTGGTTTTTGCCATACATTGACATGAATCAGCCATTTCCATCTCATTAGAACTGATTCAAATGAATTCTTTTTAATGGCTGAGTAATATTCCATTGTGTGTATGTACCGTAGCTTCCTTATCCATTCGTCTGCTGATGGGCATCTAGGTTGCGTCCATGTCCTGGCAATTATAAAGAGTGGCACTTTCTTTTTTAATGAAACATTTTATTTTGAGGTAATTACAGATTCACATGCAGTTGTTACAGAATATGCAGATCATATGTACCTTTGACCTAGTTTTCTCCAATGACATCTTGCAAAAGTGATGAGTATTGCAACCATGATACTAACTTGATATAGCCCACTGACCTTACTCAGAATTTGACGGTTTTGCTTGTATGCATTTGTATACATGTATATTTAGTTCTCATCACTTTTATTGCATGTGTAGACTCACATCCACTGCTACAGTCAGGATGTGGAATGTTTTCATCACCACAGATTCCTCATGTTACCTTTCTGTAGACACACCCCTCCTCCTCACCCTCACTCTCCACAACCCTTAGCAACAAATAAGTGTTATCCATTTCTGTCATACTTTCAGAATGTTATATAAAGACATGTACAGTATATAACCTTGTGAGATTAGCATTTTCACTCAGCGTAATTCCCTGAAGCTCTTGTGTGTTAACTGTAGTTCATGCCTTTTTATTACTGAATCAGCTGGATATGGTCTGGATGGCCTGCAGCTTTTAAAAACTTTTATTGGGGTGTAGTTGGTTTACAATGTTGTGTTAGTTTCAGGTATACACAAAGTATATATATAATGATTATACATTATGTATATGTGTGTCTCCACATACACTCAATTTTAAGATTGTTTTCCCATAGAGGCCATTAGGGAGTATTGAGCAGAGTTCCATGTGCTGTACAATAGGTCATAATTAGTTCTCTTTTACATATATAGTGGAGTGTTTCTGTCAACCCCAGTCTCCTAATTTAACATCCCTTTCCCCATTCCTCCCTGGTAACCATGTTTGTTTTCTACATCTGTAACTCTATTTCTGTTTTGCAGAGAAGAGAGAACGTTTCTATCACTGTTGGTGGGAATGTAAATTGGTGCAGCCACCATGGAGAACAGTATGGTTGTTCCTTAAACTAGAGCTACTGTATGACCTGCAGCTTTTTAAACTAGTCACTTACTGAAGGGTATTGAGATTGTTTCCAGTTAGTCTTTTAAGAGTAAAGCTGCTATAAGTATTTGTGTACAGGTTTTAGTGTGAACCTGAATTTTATTTCTCTGGGATAAATGCCCAGGAGTATAACTGCTAGACCATATGGTGATTGGTTGTTTAATTTTATAAGAAATGGCTAAACAGTTTTCTAAAGTGGTGTTGCTATTTCACATTCCCACCAGCAGGGATGAGGGATATAGTTTGAATCTTTGCCAGCATTTGCTGTTACAACTGTGTTTTTACCATCCTGATAGGTACATAGCGATATCTTATTGTGATTTTAATTTGCATTTCCTAATGGCAGAGGATGTTGAACATTTTTTATATAGTTATTTTCCATCTATATTTCCTCTGTGATGAAATGTCTTTTCATGTATTTTGCCTATTTTCTAATTGGATTGTTTTTTACTGTAGAGTGTTGACAGATTTTTATATGTTCTACTTACTAGTAAGTCCTTTGTTGGAAATGTAGTTTGCAAATATTTTCTCACAGTTTGTACCTTTTTTTTCATCCTTTTAACAGGGTCTTTTACAAAGCTTAAGTTTTTAATTTTGATGAGGTCCCGGTTCATACTTTATTTCCTTTTACAGATTGTGCTTTTGATGTCAAGTCTGAGAACTCTCTGTCTAGGCCTTGGTCCTAAAGATTTTCTCCACTGTCTATTTTCTAAATTTATGGTTTTACAATTTAATTTCATGCTCCACTTTGAGTTAATTTTGTCATAAGGCTGTTTTTCTTTAGTGTTTTATTTCTTTGGAGAGGACCTGTACTCTCCAATTTCCAGTCCCCAACACTCCCTATTTATTACCTCATTTAGTTGCTATCCTCGTTAGTATATAGTGTATATATAGTATACATCCTCATTAGTATAGTGGTGAGTATCCCTGCCTGTTGTGTGGGAGACTGGGGTTTGAGTCCCCGGCGGGCAGGTAACACACCCTTGGGGCTTCCCTGGTGGCTCAGATGGTAAAGCACCTGTCTGCAATGCGGGAGACCTGGGTTTGATCCCTGGGTCGGGAAGACCCTCTGGAGAAGGAAACAGCAGCCCACTCCAGTACTCTTGCCTGGAAGATCCCATGGATGGAGGAGCCTGGTAAGCTACAGTCCAAGGGGTCACAAAGAGTCAGACACAACTGAGCGACTTCACTTTACTTTAGCTGCTGTGACTATAGCCAAACTGCGGTGAGATCAATATGGATTTGAAAACTAAGGTAAGAATTCAGTGACACAATTTTCTGTTACAAGTGATTTAATCTTATATTGCATGCTATGTATGTATTTTTTTTTCTCTTGATTACAAATTCCTTAAGGGTAAGAACAGAGGCAGATTCATTTTTATACTTCCCACAGTTCTACCATAACAGGTAGTCAGTAAATATTTAAGTGAATGAATGAATTTAAAAAAAGAGTAAATTAGGCTCTGTGTGGGTCATGTGAATATTTTAAATTAAAAATGTTGAATACTGACATGTAACCATTTTAGGACTCCTGATGGCTCAGATGGTAAAGAATCTGCCTGCAATGCAGGAGTGAAAGAAAGTGTTAGTTCCTCTGTTGTGTCTGACTCTTTGTGACCACATGGGCTGTAGCCCGCCAAGCTCCTCTGTCCATGGAATTCTCCAGGCAAGAATACTGGAGTGGGTAACCATTCCCTTCTCCAGGGGATCTTCCCACCTCAGGATGGAACCCAGGTCTCTTGCATTGCAGGCAGATTTTTTTTTTTTTTTTACCATCAAGCCACCAGGGAAGCCCATGCAATGAAAGAGACTTCAATCCCTGGGTTGGGAAGATCCCCTGGAGAAGGGAACTGATGTTCAGATAATGATAGGAATTAGACAATTTGTTGCAGAATATGAAATGAAATGAAAACTAAGATCATTAACATTCTAGTTTGCTTTTGAATGTCATGTTAAAAAAAAGTAAATACACAACTTGGTAGTTGTTATAGAAACTTTATTATTAAGTATAAGTAATTTTTCCTATAATTAGAACTGTCAAGTGTTAAGTAAACATTTATTCAATATACTATTAGGATTTTTCTAAACTAGAACCTTACTAACTTTATTAATGGCTAACTTGCAGAAATATGAAACAAGAGTGGGAGACAAGGGGACTCAGCTTTCCGGGGGACAGAAACAGAGGATTGCTATTGCCCGAGCCCTCATCCGACACCCCCGCATCCTACTGCTGGATGAAGCTACATCAGCACTGGATACTGAAAGTGAGAAGGTATGGCTTCCTACTTCATGTCCCATTTAATTTATAAAACAAAACTTTTTCGTGCAATCATGAAAAAAACACAAACAGCTCAATATTTTTAAAGAACTCTGGCAAAAAAAAAAAAAAGTGGACAGAAGTCCTAGATATTCTTCAAAGAAGACATACAGATGGCTAACAAACACATGAAAAGATGTTCAGCATCATTATTAGAGAAATGCAAATCAAATCTACAGTGTAGTATCACCTCATTCCAGTCAGAATGGCTATCATCAAAAAGTCTACAAATAATAAATGCTGGAAAGGGTGTGGAAAAAAGGAACCCTCCCACACTGGTGGTGAATGTAAACTCAGCCAGTCACAGTGGAGAACAGTATAGAGGTTCCTCAGAAAACTAAAAATAAAGTTAGCATATAATGCAGCAGGTCCCACTCCTGGGCATATATCTGGAAAAGAAACTTGGTTTGAAAGGATACATGCACCCCAGTGTCCTTTGCAGCACTGTTTACAATGGCCAAGACATGGAAGCACCTAAATGTCCAGCGACAGAGGAATGGATAAAGATGTGGTACATATAAACAATGGACTAATAAACCATAGAAAGAATGAAATAACGCTATTTGCAGCAACATGGAGGGACCTAGAGGTTACCGTACTAAGTGAAGTCAGTCAGAGAAAGAAATACCATTGTGATATCATGCAAATGTGGAATCTAAAAAGTAATGCAAAAGAACTTATTTACAAAACAGAAAGACTCATAGACAAAGAAAACAAACTTATGGTCATCAAAGAGGGGAGGGATAAATTAGGAGTTTGATTTTAAAATATAGATACTACTATATATAAAATAGATTAACCAAGAACCTACTATATAGTATAAGCATTTTATTCAACATTTTGTAATAATCTATGATGGAAAATATGAAAAAGGATATATGTAACTGAATCACTTTGCTGCATGCATGAAACTAACACACCATTGTAAACTGTATTTCAATAAAATTTTTAAAAGATAGATAAGCACAGAAAAAAGTAAACAAATGTAGACAGCAGTTATTTTGAGGTAAAATATTTTTATTTCATCCCTTACTTCCAGCATTTTCCAAATTTTCTAAAATGATTTTAGAAAATATTATACACAAAAAGTACTTTTATTGCACTTTTTGTTTGAATGCTCTAGCATATTAATAATGGAAAAACTGGGAAATAAAAACACTCAAAATTGAAGCCATTAGTTTAAATTATTTTGTGACTGGTTAGAAAATTTAAAGACTTGTGAAGATTAGTTTGAGAATACATTTTTATTATAAAGAACATAACTGTATGCAAGATGGACTATGTAAAACTCAATACATAAAGCTAAAAATTCAAAGATGACACAAGAAATGAAAGGTGACTTTCTTTTGTATAGATGGTAAAAGTATTTGGATTTACTTTACTTTTAAAACTTATTTCTATCATTTTTAAGGTGAGGCTTCTGTTCTATTAATAGATTGTCCAAGAAGCCCTGGACAACGCCCGAGAAGGCCGCACCTGCATCGTGATCGCTCACCGCCTGTCCACCATCCAGAACGCGGACATGATCGTGGTGATTGAGAATGGCAGGGTCAGGGAGCAGGGCACGCACCAGCAGCTGCTGGCGCAGCGGGGCATCTACTTCACCATGGTCAGCGTCCAGGCTGGGACAGAGAACTGATGAACTCTTGTTATAGTGTATCTTAAAAATAAATTCCGACAACTTTTTTCTGATTTAGAGACTTCTTTGATAAGTCACCACAAAACATAGGTATATCTTATTCCAATTTGCAACATCCAATTTGGGGTTGGATATTACAGCTTTTGAAATTTAGTTGTTAAAAGTAACATCTGGCTTGGTGCAGCATGAAAACAGCCCGGTTCTGAGTTACCAAAAATGTATGGAGAGAGTATTACTCACCATAAAAAAAGAAGTAACACCATTTGCAGCCTCATAGATGGACCTAGAGATCATCTTAATAAAATCAGTCATTATCTTAACTAAATGTTTCTCAGACAAATACCACCATGATATCACTTAAATATGGAATCTGGGATCAACAGAAACACACTACTATATATAAAAATAAACATTAAGGACCTACTGTATAGCACAGGGAATAATATTTAATATCTTGAATCTATAATGGGAAGGAATCTGAAAAATAGACATATAAAAATAATGGAATCACTTTGCTGTATACCTGGAACATTGTAAATCAACTATATATGAATTTAAAAAAAGAAAGTAAAAAGTTTAGGTATATAAAACTGTAGATTGAAGATGCAATCCAATCCTTATCAAATTATTCATGACATTTTCCACAGAACTAAAATAATCCTAAAATACATATGGAACCATAAGAGACAGAGAATTGCCAAAGCAATTCTTTTCCTTCAGGAAAAGAACAAAGCAGGAGGCCTAACCCTCTCAGACTTCAGACAGTACCATAAAGCTAATCAAAACAGCATGTTATTGGCACAAAACCAGACATATGGATCAATGGAACAGGACAGACAGCCTAGAAGTAAAACCACACACCTACAGTCAATTAATCTTTGACAAAGGAAGCAAGAATATACAATGGAGAAAAGACAGTCTCTTTCAGCAAGTGGTACTGGGAAAGCTGGACAGCTTCATGTAAATCAATGAAGTTAGAATACTCCCTCACACTGTAAGTGAAAATAAAATGGCTTAAAGACAAACATAAACATTACACCATGAGACTCCCTAGAAGGAATCATAGGCAAAACATTCTGACATAATTCATACCAATTTTTTTTTTTTTGGCTGCACCAAGTCTTAGTTGTGGCACATGGGATCCTCTATCCTAACTGCGGCATGCAGGATCTTTAGTTGCAGCATGTGGTATCTAGTTCCTCAGCCAGGGATTGAACCTGGGCTCCCTTGCATTGGGAGCATGGAGTTTTAGCCACTGGACCACTCGGGAAGTCCTCATACCAGTGTTTTCTAGGTCAGTTTCCCAAGGCAACAGAAATAATAAAAATAAACAAATGGACCTAATCAAACTTACAAGCTTTTACAGAATGGGAGAAAATATATACAAATGATGTGAACAACTAGGGACTGATTTCCAAAATATACAGCTCTACAACTCGGTAAACAAACAACCCAATCAAAAAATGACCAGAAGTTCTAAACATTTTTCCAAAGAAGACATACAGATCGCCAACAGGCATATGAAAATATGCTCAACACTGCTAATTATTAGAAAAACGCAAATCAAGACTACAATAAGGTATCACCTCACATCAGTCAGGATGGCCATTAAGAACTCTACAAATAACAAATACTGGAAAGGGTACAGAGAAAAGGGAACCTTCCTATACTGTTGGTGAGAATGTAAGTTGGTACAACCACCATGTGGGGAAGAGGAAGGCAGCTCAAGAGGGAAGTGATATATGTATACTTATGGCTGATTCACGTTGTACTGCAGAAACCAACACATTATAAAGCAGTTTTCCCCCAATTAAATATTTTTTTAAAAAAGAGAAAAAAAACCCAGCCAAATGATTCTAAGTGTGCTGACAATCAAGTCAACACTTGTACTAGTGAGTATAAAGGTCTTAACTCGGATTTCATCTTTGTAGTCTGTATTAACTCTTAAGGATACATCAAGTGCCATAGAGGCCAACTCTGAATGTTTTCACAAAGAAATAACAATGACAACCAGTCATCAGCACCAGAACCTATGAAAATGTAACCAAAAAAGGATATATATTCTACAACCAGTGCACTAAATGTATTGTAATATTTGTGGTAGGTTGCTACAAAATGGCCCCCAATAAACCACGCCTTCTTGTGCCCACTCATTTACATTTACCAAATTATTTACAAATTACTTTGCTGCTCCTCTTACTGTGAGGCAAAACCTTTTTCCTCCTCCACTTGATCCTGGGCTGCTCTGGTAACTCGTTCTAGCTAAGGACACACAAAAGGGACATCATGTGCCTTCAACAAGACTTCAGAGCCTAGGCCTCAAGAGGTCTTTCAACTTCCACCCTTCCCTCCTAGAACATTCCCACTGCCCAGTTCGGAAGTCCAGGCTAGAATCCTGAATGATCAAAGACCATGCAGACAAGTCCCAGCCACCACGCCAGGGGGGCGTGAGGCTGTGTCAGACTTTGCAGCCTCACCGCCTGCCTGGTACGGGCAGTGCTGTAACTCAGGGAAGACAGCGGCACGGCCATGCGAGTGGGCACAATCCACTGACACATCATGAGACGACCACCTGTTGTGAGACGGGGCGGTTATTAGACAACAAATATGCAACTGATCAGAAAGTAGAGGGCCACGGAGGAATGAACCACTCAAACACAAAACAAGAAGCTATGTGATTTTGAAAATTTTATTTTCTGAGGGTAAAAACTATAAAACTGGATAAAGGAAAAAGAAATCCTGAGAATTTGATTTAGTATTCAATCCTTTTAAAGTCATTAAGTTTAAATATAAATGCTTTAAGTTCATGTTCACAAAACTAATTATTGGTTTGGCCAGAAAGTTCATTTGGCTTCTTCTGTAAGATGCTATGGAAAAACCCAAACAAACTTTGGGCAAGTCAATGTAATGATATAATAAATTTGCGATGGTTTTTTGTACGTGTCAGAGCGTGTAAACCTCCTTACTACAACCTAATTCTGTCTGTTCTACATAAACTTTCAGATTAAACTGTAGTGGTCTTTCCTAAACATAGTAGGCTTGTATCCCTGTGGTGAATGTGGAACCACTGATTTCAGGGAAGTTAGCGTCCAATCATGTATTTCATATCCTTTGGCAACTAGAAAATGTTAAAGTGCTTGAAAGATGGACTCTACAATGATGTCCAGAGAGACTTATTACCTACTTAGGTACCAACAAAGATATTTAAGAGTTAGATTTGCATTGTTGAGGCTGATCTTAAACTTTGCATAGTTCTATAATCATATTGTAATTTGCATTGCTGCTGCATCAGAGGAAGCTTAAAAATATTTCTACTTTCTATGTCAGGATAAATTTTGAGAGCATGATTCTACTGGTCTCTACATTTAACAAGTTTCCTTCAGTCAACATCCGTTCCTATCTCACAATACCACCCACTCCCGGCACCCAGTTATATATTTTGGTAAGTGCTTAATAAATGATTAGTCTCTAGAGATGAGGCGTTTCCATCAGTTGCATCATATCATGGAAAGCATGAAAAACTTGCTGAACTAGCTTCTCTGCATCAGTCTCTGGACATGATTTCCAGGCTGAACAGGACACAACAAACCTGTAAAGTACAAATAATAAATGATCACAACACAATATCAATACGAAAAGGCTCCAAGTGGTGACAGTGAAGAAAGCCATGACCTTTATTCCACCCAGCTATTCATGTATGAAATAGGATTGCTTGCTCACTATGGGTAAAGGTAATCGGACACAATAGAAAGTAAAGCCACATTTTTGCATGTAGCACAACACCTAATTTACCTGGTAACTAGAGCCTAAGAACAAAAGGGAACAAGAAACTAGTCAGAGCTCAAGGGTGCTCTGGAGTTAGGTCTGAGTGTGCTAAATAACTCGCTTCTTCCTATAAAAGACCTTCCTAACATGCCACAAATGGGATGAGTTAGATGAATTCATGACACTGTCTGCAATAAAACCTGAACTATTTTTAAAGAATACTTGAAGAGAGTAAACAAAAATAATAAAATAGAAAAAGAAGGGTAAGAGGAGAGAAAGGCTGTTTCTAGAAAAGCCAGAGAAACTCTCTTGAAACCAAGATATGCCCTCCACACTATGTTCTTCTAGAAGCTCCTGGTGAAGAAATCCCCTATGCAGTAGCTGATAAAGGTGGCCCCAGGAAGCTGAAATAAATAGTGAAGAAAGCCTGGTTCTTCGAGGGCTCAGAGCAGAAATGTGGCTACTAATTCTCTTGGAACTAGTTTTCCCCTTTACAGACACACAAATTTTCTACACCAAAACATGCATTATGCTCAAGTCAAACTGATCGCCAGTCCAGGTTCAATGCATGAGACAAGCGCTCAGGGCTGGTGCACTGGGATGACCCAGAGGGATGGGATGGGGAGCGAGGTGGGATGGGGGTTCAGGATGAGGAATGCATGTAAATCCATGGCTGATTCATATCAATGTATGGCAAAAACCACTACAATACTGCAAAGTAATTAGCTTCCAACTAAAATAAATAAATTTAAAAAAATCAAAATGTTGTATAAGTCTTGTGGATGACCATGCAATTTTCACATCACTGAAAATTAAGACAGGAAAGTAGGTGTCTTCGACATGTACTTTAGATAAAGCAGAATGAAATAAAAACATATTCTGGCTCAGTATATAATAATGAAACCAATGTTTGAGTGGATTATCTTTGCTGAAAGATATACAGGAGCTTACAGAAAGTCCTGCCTTGCTTTCACTGGTGATTCACGATCAGTAGCCATTTTCTAGCTATACTGTACATACACCTCTAAATATTTAGCAAAAGCTAAGTATTTCTTTGCAAAGAGTAACAATTTCTGTGTTAAGTTTTTTTAATTCAGTTATATTTTTAAACTATAGAAAGAATAATCATTCCTACATGCATAATTCACCAAAGAATATACACAGATGCTAATAAACAAAGAGAATGTTTTGCTTCATATGAATTCAGGTTAGGTTATATTTTCCTATAAAAATTTGTAGACTGCTTTATAAATGCCTAAAGTTGGCAATGATGTGGTAAAATAAGGAA